GCAACTGGTAGCTAAGCACTGCATTTCCCCCATAGCACTCAGATTCAGTAACAACTTCCATTCATTCATTTCTCTGCTATCTGCTGCTTAAGTTTATTGTACAGAGGGAGACAAGTCCCCTCAAGAGACTGTAAAAGCCTAGTGACTACATCCAGACAGCTGATTATCCCCGAAAGAGGTCAATTATAGTGACCTCTGACTAAATAAAAAAATACAATTTTGAAGGGAAAAATGCCATCAGCAGCTGGCTTTTCAGGACCAACCTATTGTTACTAAAATTGACGTGATCTGGCTGTGCCAATCAGTTATTGTTTAGATGAACACAGACAGAAGGGATAAGAACAAATAGAAAGTCAGGTGTCTGAGGTGGCCTATTTGGATTTTTCTGTAGTTATTAATATACAGCACATGAACCTACTAAATCAGTTAAACTTCCATTGATCCAATCATTTAAATCTGCAATATGAACATTTGATTCATGCTGTAGTAGTACCAACACACACTTGTTTTTACTTTTTTGAAACAGAGAAAAAAAATCACTACTGAAGGACTTTATCCATTTAAATTACAGGGTTACAGTAGTAAAAAACACTGAAAAATATTTCAGCTAAAGCTTTCTAAGTTAATGAATCATTATACAAACACAATCAAGAATTGAAGTTTTGCATGCTGAATGAATATTTTATTTAGAACCAGTTTATAAAAATAAAATACAAAATAATTTGAAAACAAAACTTAAACATTGTACAAAGCCTTGATATGGTACAAATGAGAAAATAAATAATTACAACTTTATGTACAAATGACCATGACAAGGGCATTAACTCTTTATGCTCTTGGGTGCCTGAGCAAACTTAAATGAAAAGAATGGCTTAGAGGATTTCCAAGGAGGGGAAGAGAATTGCAATTACTGAGTAAGAGAATTTGAAGGACTCAACGTTTGTCTTCCTCAATGGTAAAAAACAATCTCAGAACTACTTTCCACTTAATTTAATCACACTGCAGACTTTACTATTGAGTACTTGATTTCTTATGGGGTTTACAACATTGTATTTTTAATTAATACACAGATTTAATTTTTTGTGGTATTGCCCAGGGATTTTAGATTAGCAGCCATTGGTTGGCCACTTCAAAAAGTCAGTACTTGTCTGAAGGCATTGCTGGTGATTTCCTTAATTTACTGGTTTGGATGTTCATAGGAAAGCATTTGAAAATTGGCATCTGTTAACACAAGCACTGCAACTTGAGTCTGGGCTGACTCTATAGAAAAGAAAGTTAAAAGCTGGGGAAGAATTTTCGATCTTGCTTCCTAGCCAATGAAAGTAAAGAGGATACAGAGAAGGCTGCTTGGCAACAAATCCAGATCTCCAGTCAGAAGAAAAATATGTGAAATTGTGAAAAAAATCCTACTTCACTTTGCATCAAACCTTTATGACCATGCCTGCCATGCAGCAGATACTGGTTTAAAAGGATTTGAAGCCAGGCAGGCCAAATTGATTACATTGCATCTTTTGGAGCAAGTTGTTCTGCTGTTACCATAGGCCCTTTACATAAAAGGTCAAAGATCAAGTGATCTCAAAACAAACATCAAATTCCAGCTGAATTCCCATAGACATTTGTGGATGATGGGGGCCTCACATGAGTAGCCCACTTCGGATACTGTTTTAAAAGAAACCACATTGTACTCTTGGCCAAAGCTGGCTCTCAACAGTAATTCTGACAGAAAAGGAGAGATCCAGAAGCATGTCATGTAATAATAATAATAACAACAATAAGAAAATTAGTATTTTCCAATTTAAAATACAGCAACAGCAAATTTGATATTCATAGAGTGAGTTTATCTTTTCAGTTCCTAATCAGGGGAAAGAGCCTCAACAAAACAGGACCCTATACTGATTTTAATGAAGCTGCACCTGCACAAGAACAGCAAGAACTCCCACGGGTCCAACCTCTTCATGTAGAAGAGAAACAGGAGCATAGCATTTGGGTTTGTCATTATCATTGTTGAGAGAGAATGTGTTATCATCAATGGAGAGTAAAATCAGCCCAACCTGTTCAAACCTGGATGGCAAGAGTCATTGCAAAGTTAATACATCAGTCTTTGAAACAATGGACTCCTGTACATTTTTCCTTAAAAAACTCAACCAAACAAAAACCCCTCCTTAAAGATATTTAAAAGTCTGGTTATTTAAACCATATGAAAATGAGTGATAAAAGCTTTTTGGCATTTGACAATATCATAAGATAATTCCTGATAATTATTATATAATCCAAGCTGATTTTATATAATTTCTCTTTCACGAATATTATGTGTAAGGAAAAGGAACACTGGCTTCAAGCAGACAGGTGAGGTATTCTTATGTGATGTGCATGTTTATCCAATTTGATTAGCTAAAAAATGTGTGACCTATGCCTGTGTATTGCATATAGCCAAAACACTGAACCTCACTTCCTTTTACCAGCATTTCTGGTAACCAAAAATGCTACTAAATTACAACCAAAGACATTTGAGCCAAAAGCAAAACAGCAAACAAACCCAATCAGTTCACTGCTTACTTGATTAGCTAAAAGAAGTTGAATAAAAATATTATGTCCTGTTCTATAAATTTCAGAAAGAGGAATCATGGAACCATCAAGGTTGGAAAACACTGCCAAGATCAAAGTTCAACTGCTAACCTAGCACTGCCATGTTCACCATCCAACAAGCAGACAAAGCTTTCACCAGCTGAAGAGAGGACTCATGGATAAAAGTCAAGGCCTTTATCCAGCCAAGAGTTCTCTGACCATTCCTAAAAGTGGAAAAGCATACAGAGAATGTACAACAGGCATCTTGGTGTTAACCTAAGCAGACCCTGACTCACTGAGAACGACAAGACAGACATGGCTCTTGTCCCCTCACAGCATCAGTCCTGCATGAAAAGAATTCATGTATTATAGGCCTGTTGTGAGAAAGAGTTTGACTTTGAGCTCTCTTTTATTCTCCTATTCATTTCCAGAAGACTAATATCTAATTTAAGATATATATAAAAATTGGAGGCACATATAATTTATTTTCCAATAGACCCTTTTAAGAAATTGGAATAATTACATTCTTCTTACCAGAATTTGTGCCTCTAAGTGTTCCATAAAAATGTTCAATTCATTACAGAAAAAATCTGTTTACAGGAAAAAGACTGTACTGTAAATCTGGCTTTATCTACATTCTCATCAAAGAGAAAAAGAAAAAAAAAATTTAGAAGCATTACAGTCAACCATTGCATAAGTATTACTGCAATAAGAAGGACTTACAGAAGTTTTGCCCAAGTAGGACTATAGGATGAGACCTTGTAATATGAAAAAGACACAAAATCAGAATTAGGGCATAGGGACATTGCAGTAGATGAAAAGGAGACCAGAGTAAATCAAAGCAAAACAGGCCTTGGCTCACTCCGGCAAATGAATTCCAGTGAACAGGATGGAATAGCTGAGACTCTTCCTATCTATATGTATATACACACATATGTATGTATGTATATATATATTTCTATATAATATACAGTATCTATATAAGTGTATATGAAGATACACTTAGGTACAAATGTGTATTTTTATATATATATATAAATATATATATAATCAAAATTGTGTTTTCCCAGCAATAGTTATTACCATAATACTACAAATTGTAGATGATAGAGCTCCAGCAAGTCTTTTTCAGATGAAAAATATTTCAAGCTATTTTTAAATATATAGGATCAAATCCTTTCTTATACATCAAGACTGTTTAGTGAGGTATGCAAGAAAGCTTGATCTCAAACATGCAGACTTCAAAGTAAGAATGTGTCCAGATTTCCCAAGACAGGATGTGGCTGGTGGCTGTAATGAATGCCTTGTGTCACTCTGCAGAGCTTTGCCTCCTGTATAATTACATATAACTAGCAGTTAAGACCTCATCTTGCTCCTGCCTTTGAGCAGTGGCATTTTCTACGCTTATTGATCCTGCTCAAGCAGTAGATAGGGCTTAGCATCATACAACTTGCCAATGTTGCTCTACCATATCACACTTTCTATTATTCTAGCAGGGTTTTACCTAAGTAGTAATTGGCATTTGTAATTAATAAAGAGGTTAACTAATATTGATTTTTGAGATTCTAACTTAGATTGATTTTACCATGCAATATTGTAGCACAAAAGTCTGTGTGAAGTGTTTGGTGATTTCAAGTTCTATTTTAGTTTAAAGGCTTCATGCCTCAGTTTCTCTAAAAAATGCTCCAAAGTGCTGGCCACAACACAGAATACACCATAAAGAGGAATTGAGCATGCAGCATCTGCACCTGCTACATGTCATGGTTCCATTGCACTGCTCACCAAAGAAAGGGAGAAGACAAAGCAACAGCTCCTTGAATTTTATTATTTCCCAGCTAATATTCCTATATAAACTGCTGTGTGCTATGCAGAGTAATGGCAGCCATTTAGTACAATGGAGAAAAATCTTCCCCGTCCCTGAAAATGTGTTGCAGATAACCTGCCATAAACTATTCACACACACTCTGCACAAGGGTCACACACATGTACATTGGTGGTTTTCTGCAGAGCCATATCCACATTCAAATACTGAGGCTTACAGAGTCCTTAATGATTATATAGGCCCTCTAGAAATATAAAGCTATCATTTATGTATGAGTTGATCAATTGACCATTACTTAATAGCATTAACTGATTGCTATGTTAGACTACAGTAAGCATTTCTGTAAACTTTTGGGAGAAGGGTATCAAGCAACAAAAAATTCAAGAAGAGCAGGTAGTTCAAGCTAAGTTATTCACAATTGCTCCTCCATTCACATCTTCATTATTTTCTCCTTAGATCCAGTTAAATCTACAGCAAAAAAGCAACTGGGGGTATACAGTCCTTCTACCTTTTCCTCACCAAAAGAAGCCTGTGTCACCAATAATAACTGATTTCTCTTTTTCTTTTTGGCATAGTTTACTATTTTTATATTGGCAAGTAGTTCAAGTACGAGTGAATTTCTACAGCATTGGTTTATTTTACATAGTAATGTTAAACAATGGACAAGCCTGTACTTTGAAGACAACATAACAGAGGTGTTATGTGCTTTCTCACCTGTAGAGCAGTTACCATTTCTGGATGCTGTTACACTAGAGAAAAAATATAAACACCTCAACTTCAGCATTTTTAGGCAAGGATGCAAAAAGTTAGTACTTATGAAAACTGACAATGTAACATAGGAATAAACTTACATGATGATAATAAATGCTTTTCAGAAATAAGGAAAAATAATCATATGCTGCCACACCACCTTAACAAATAATTCCAGCAAGTGCCCAGGACAAAAACATCACAATGTGACCAAATTCTTTTTTATGGTATACCATAAGGAAACATGTAGAAAACAGGAAAGAAAAAATGGAATTTGTTGTTGTCACATTCAACCATTAGGTATTCATAGACTGTCACTGTTCCTATATGACAAGTATTCACAATTTAGAACTCACATAATGAAATAAAAATGAGCAAGACCTATTTGTAATAAAAAACAAAAATACCTTTTGAGTCTTTGTTCTTGTTCCATATGCAAATGTGCACATGAAATTAGAAATAAAAAAAAAAACCCCAAGCTGCAACACAAAACATTGGCTGGTTGAGAAATCAGCAGTCCTTCAATTTTGTACCAAGGTATAAAGGCTATTAGAATTTGTGCATTCCAGATTTTTTTGGCAGGGGTGCAGGGGAGAATAGAAGAGGTAAGTATACAGGAGCTAACAGAAAGGGAACTGTACTATTTGTAGTCCATAAATTACAAATGAAAAATGAGAAAGAATGAGTTTCTATAAGCATATACATATATGTATATATAAATATTTATATTATATAATTTACCATGAGGACATGCAATTATTGGTATAGCACCTATTATACATTATAATACAAAGGAATAGGACTTTGCAATGGTACAGTTTCTTCAGAAAAAGCAGGTATACCCTACCTATTGCATTCATCTGTAGTGCTTGAAACCTGAATGAAATTAAGGTTCCACACTGTGCTACATTACATATGGGAAACAATATACATAATAAGAAAAGGAAAAAATCAACATAGTCTGACAAAGCAAGTGAAATTCAGTGCAGCTCTAGGGCAGCTTTAATGCAGCATTAGAATGTGTTAGCTCAGAGACAAAATATTCCCTTTTAAATCCAAAAATATTCATTTGGCAGAGGTTAAATAAAAAAACACAGATGCTGGCTGGAGAGGCATATGACTACAGCAAGCAGATCAGTAATTGACAAGTCTCCTATGCTTCCAGAGTCCCCACAACAGGAATCATTAGGGAGGAGAGCTGGCTGCATCTTTCTCAGGCTTGTGTTCTTGTCTGTCCGTATTCTGACCCACTATGCCTTTATGAACATAGCAAAAGGTGCCACACCTTTCATTCCCTACAGGGTTCCTGCAGAGCACAAGATGTTACTGAGTAACTACCTAATAAAACTGGAGGAATTAAACACCATGGACTTTACTGAGAGTGAACAAGGCTTCTCTATCAAAAACACATTTGGGAAACTGAATTACAATAATCCGATATGAAAATATCTCAGATTTCTTTCTGTATATTTTGCTTTGATGATTAATATTCTTACCCAGATTTTGTAAGGGTGTTAAGTGTATTTCCATCACCCCTAACCTATCACGTTCCTAAAGTAGATAATTTCCTCATCTCTGTTTCATCTTTCATAATTTTAGAAAACAAATGACCAAAAAAACAAAACTTGATTGGTCATCATCTCTACATTGCAAGATCTGTGGTTAAAGTGATCCATAAATAATGGGAAAAAAAGTCAGCAATAACAAAGGCTCTTTTTTCATTTGAATTAAGGGGGTAAAGAAAGGTTCTTAATTTCTAACTTATATTGCATTTTACTGTAAATCTACAATATCCAGTGAAGGGCATATATCTACTCCTTTCTCTTATTTCCTAGGAGGAAATGCTTTTCCAAATCCTATCAAATGTGGTTTGAAAAACCCCACTATGACTCCCAAAAAACTGTATGATATAGAACTGAAAACCAGCTTCTTGGATCCTAATTACTGCTAAGCAAATCTCTAAATAATATTGGTACAAAAACATCTTGTCAAATATTGATTTTTTTAAATTTCATCAGTGTCAAGAAGAGGTAAGGTATATGATACTTAGGTAAGAAATCTGTGCCATAATAGGGGACAAAATAAGCACTCAGTGACTCAGAGGTGAGTGCAGCTCAAAATGGAAGAAATTTATAAGGCAGAAATATCATCTTCTAAAGTGTGTGCTTTTTTAAAACTACAAAGAAATGCTTGAGCAGTACTTATCTCCCAAGTAGCGACATAATTTTGGGAATGACTGTTTCAGGCTTTCTTACATACTCCTCGAGTATGCAAGGCCTTAAATAATTAGGCCCAATCTTCTAACTAGGGAAACTAAACAGATCGAGATTAATACCATTTTAAAACACTCACCTTCAAGATACTTTTTCACTCTAAATACATTGCACCTCTTTGACTACCCAGCCATTCTTACCCTGGCCTCTACTTCCCATTTCGTGGATCTGCTTGCTGCCTGCTCTAAGGCAAAGCCTGGCCACTTATTTACACAGAATGCTTTCTCATGAATAGTTTACAATGGCTACTTTCTTTAAAATGTGCAGATTCAACACCTTTTTTTAATATACTTTTTTTTGATTATTTTTTTAAATACACAGTACACAGACACAACATGCATCAGATTTAGGAGGAGATTTTATACCTGTCAAGACCCAGTTCCTATCTGCTAAGCTTAGTAGTTGATTTGCTCTTTCCTGTGGAAGTCTTAGTGTTAGGGGAATGGTGGAAAGAACTGCCAGATCCTTTCAGACCATTCTTGCTCGTTTTGTTGCAGCAGTGCTCTTGTTGGCAGGACCTCCTAGAAGATGAAGAGCCTGAATGGCTAGGAGGTGATTTACTCCTCCCAAAATGTGGGGATGAACTCCTCTGATCATGATGGGATCTCCCAGCCCGGGACGGAGAAGAACTGGCAGTACGGGGTAAAGAAGAGCTCCTAGGGGAGGCACTGGGACTGCGGCGGGGGATGACAGGGCTCTTGGGTGGCGTTTTTGGACTATGAGGAGATCCTGGACTCTTACACTGGGTAGAACTCCTTGGTCTTTGAGATCCATTCTGCAGGATTTGAGCCAGACGAGAGATAAGATCTGAGTCCGAGCTGCTACTGCCTAGGACTCTGTATCTGCGCAACCTTAAGAAGAAACGAAGAAAGATTATTTCTATTTCCATCTATTCACTAAAATTCAAATAGAAACTCCATATCACTAGAAACTAAGGAGGCGGTTGCATTGCTGAACAGATATCTGGAGCTCAACTTTCCTGTTAGGTAGAGGTGTTTGGATCTAGGCTTTGGCTTCTGTGTTGTTCAGTTCAACACAGTATTTATATTTATATAAACTCACTCCCACAAATAGCCTCATTGTTTACAGGATAACGGGAATTTCCTGGTGGTGTTTGAAGAAGTGCACTGAAGAGCAGTGCTTATTGCCATTTCAGAGGGGTACATCCATTCCTGCACACCATAAGTGCACTCCCATACACAATTTTAAGGGATGACAAGGCCCAGTGCAGCTTCCTTCAAAGGATTTTGCACTACTGTATCAAAATTATCCTTATCTTGGGAATGTAGACAGAAAAAACTAGAATGTGGTTGTCTGCATATAGACGTGGCAAACGAGAGGCCTTCTAAAATTCACTCTGCCCTACTTTAATTAGTTGGTTTACTTAGACATGATCTGACCATAGCTAATTGACTTAATGGTGATGCTGGAATCTCCAAATATTTACAATATCTACATTAAGAACAGATTAATTTTCAAGGGAGCTGAATACAGCAGCTCGTAAAAATTTTTATGGGTTTGTAAATAACCAGCAGTTCTGGAAAAGTAACCCCACTTTAACAAAATGTGTAAAAATTTAGTTATAGATTGTCACGTTTCAAAATATTGAATGCACATCTATTAATGTATTAGTTTTAACAGTGAACCAGGCTCATTTTGTGTATCAGCTTCTCCTCATTCATTCTCCAACAGTGTAAGCTTTCTCAGAGAATTGAAGCCTAGCCTAGCATTTTTTTTTAATTAGAGAGTGGAACTTCTACAGGATTACATCCTGCACAGTAACTGCAGTCTAGCTCCTGAAAATCTATTTCAACCTGAAAATCTATTTCTATTTTCTCTGCATTACCTAGCTTCTACCCCAGGTCTAGTAGGCGGTTTTCCTGGTGGTGGCCGAGGAAAGAACTGAGCTGAACTTGAACTGGTAACTTGATCAGAGGTTGCCCAAGACACTGGTCTTGGAATCTTGCTTTTTCTGGACTGAGGGCTGCTTGGAGATAAAGAGCTATCTTCATTCTGCTTGCTGAAATGAGAGTCCAATGTCAATTTAGAAAACGAAGCTAAGACATCATCCTCAGAAAACGGTACTGGAGCAGCAGCCATTTTTTCCTCCAGTGACTTATCAGAGGCACTTGAGAGGTCACCAAGGAAAGATTTGAGCTGTCTCTTTTCCATAAGTAATTTGACCAAGTCTGTCTGATGGGCCTTTTTTAGAAGAAGCTTTTCCTTTGCAGAAACAGAAGAGGAATCTGACATTGAGTCTATCTCTTGTGCTAAAACTGGGATTCGACTCTGCCTGAATACAAAAGAAGATTTAACGGAGTCCTTCTTAGATCGATAAGAACTCTCATTTTCTGAAATGCAATGGAATAACTCTCCATTTCTGGGAGCATTTTTCTCTTTTTTATTCTCCTGCTGCAAAATAGTAGTAAGGGCCACTTGGTGGCATTTCAGGTCTTGGCTATGGACTTCCTCCTTATCCGAATGAAAACCATTTTCCTGAATGGTTGCTATTTTGCTTCCCTGTCTATTAACATGTGCATTATTCAGTCTTGAGGGAGACAATTCTGATGTTTTAGGTGCTATTGACTTCAGAACCTCATCTTGATTTGGCACCAAACAGACAGGCCTTGACTTTGATTCTTGAGCTGCTTCAGTATTTGTTGGAGGTTCTTCCTCTGCAGATTTTGAGTTTCCTGGCAAAGAATTCTGTTCTTTGCTTAGCATTTCAATGCCATCCTCAGAAACCAGTGGGAGCCCTTCTTCCTCAGCCTCCTCCACAGGAATATTTCCAAGCTCTTTCTCTTCCTGTATCCCATTGTGTTCAGGTAGGTCCTTCTGGACACAATCCAGGACAGATTCTTTGACAAGTCCTCCCCTGTCAAGCACCTCTTGGCTAATATTAAGTACCAAATCTGGTCTGTTCGCACTAGCTGGAAGTGCATCCTCTGTCCCAACCAAACCTGGCAAACTTTCCTTTGGAGAGGAAAGTTCCACGGTATGTTCCACAGACTGACCATCCTGCTCTCTTCTCTCCAGCTGGTGGCCATAGTGAAAGCTCTCTGAAGCAGACTGTGTGGATGCCACTGAAGGTCTGGGTATTGTTATCTGCATTGGAAAATTAAAGAAAAAGGTGAGAAACTCGGGAATGTTATACAAGTAATATCCTTTAAATAGCAGCTTTGGTTCCACACCTTCAACATACATTATATAATGATTCCTATGAATCACAATGTTCAAATAATACCTAACTTCATAGCGTTCGTGTAGATAATCAGGAAAAAAATAATCTGTTCTCTCAAGACAGAAATACGAATCAGGTAAAAAAACCATGTCAGTGAAAGATGTTGCAGTTAGCAAGTATAACCCCCTGGGAATGAGAGCCTAACGGGCAGTTTTTGGTTTGGTTTTTTTTATTTTAGTTTGAATACTCCTAGAATAAGTTGTATATAAATGTAAAATTTTTAACAAGTACACAGCAATATTTTTAGACAAATGCAGAAGACAAAGAACACAGTGACATTTAGATTCAGAAATTCCATGCTCTTAATATATTTTTGTCTGGAAAAAGAACTTTTCTGTGTACCCTGTATTAGTTATTGATTTTCCTACTGAAGCTTATGCCCCATTTTAACTAGATAACCTGGTTAGGAGATCTCTTTACCTACGGTGATTAAGACATTCAAAAATTAAATACTTACATATCTAAATCCCCTACCAGGTCTGATCCAATAGATACACATAAAGCACTCCTAAAATGTGTATATATCATTAAGTCAGATACTCTTTGAAAAACAGTTGGTTATGATGAGTGCTGTCTTTGGCACACAGCATAATTGTTAGAGTATGTGTCCAGGAAATGGAAAACCTGCATTCATATCTCTCCCTACTTGATGGGCATAGACCCACTTCCTATAGTTCCCATCAAAAAGGGAAAAAACCCAAATGGAGTTGTTTCTCACCTTCCCCATCGAAGACAGGCAAAAACTGTTTTTTAATACTCAAGATTTAGGTACTAAATTTTTCTTCTCTGCACAGAGAAGAAAAAATAAAAAACTGGAGGAAAAAAAAAAATAAAAACAAAACGATCTATGAAACAGGGGAGCTGTCCCATAGGTTTTCATACAGACATAGGAATTTGCCCAAAGACAACACTGCTCAAGGTAGCCTACATTGAAGGACTTGCTTTCATACAACAGATGGACTTATTTTGGCCTGTCAGACAAAAATCATCAGCTTGCTTAAAAATTGTGATCTACAATCTGGGTAAAAGTGAGTTCAGGAAATTTTAATGCAATATTATCCTTGGAAGAGGAGGTTCAAATTTTGGAGACCTCACTTGGGCATTTGATGTCCACTGAGCTCTGTCTTGTTTCAATAGTTTGTTTCAGTACCTTGTTCTCCAGGGCTGCAGATGCATCTCAAAAATAAGGATGTGTAAATATTTCCTTTTTCAAACTTTTCACTGGGTGAGCTAATCTAGTTGCCAATCCAAATAACTCAGGATTAAAATACCAGAGTTATCTTCAACATATCTGAAGGATGACTTCCCTCAGAACAGAATGATCGGGGTGTCCTCTCAACTTACAGAGATGAGACAACCTTAGGCATTTGCTTTCAGAAGGGTATTTATTTGATACATTTCCAGAAGAACTGCAACTGCATTTAAATCCTCCTTTGCTCAAATACATTTACATTAAAACTCTCTTTTCCTTGTTACACCTCTTTCATATGTCAATTCTTTGCTAGAAGAAAGCAGCTCTGATATGAAGTTAATTTACATTTTTCAATAGACTTCATATCCTTTGCCACATCTGGAGAGAGAATTTTCTAGTCTTTCCACCACATCTCGGCCACAGAGATTTAACCCTTACATTCAAGAAGGAGGAGATTAGGCTTGTTGAACCACCTACAATCAAATAGGCAGGAGCTCTTTGTGAAAAAGAAACATTGAACAAATGGAGAAAAGAAAAGGATACTGGATGACTAAGAATCAATTAAAGATCTGGTACTACTAAATAATTCAAACTTTCAGAAAAGGCTTTTTGCACACATATATCACTTTCTTGATTTTTATTCACTAACAAACAAAAATTTGTTTTCTTACATGGTCAATAAACCTCTTATTGGTCTTCTCAAAGTACAAGAACTAGATTATATCCCTGTGGGACTTGACACTTCACCTATGTGTTCAAGAAATTTAAATGGGTAGTCATAAATAATCCTCATATTTTTATTTTTTGTGCTGCTAAATACACTCTTATCCTATGAGATCTTTATGATTAATTATGCCAATTATGTAAAACACTGAACATGAGGAACAAAGATTACAATTCATCTAAGTAAAATATGGGGAATACAACTTAAAATCCTACCTAATTTCTTAATTCCTTTCTGTTTCCTCAAATTCACACTTGAACCAAGATGAGAAATTATCCTGCATTTCTTCAGGGAATCTTACGAGAGTGAGTGGGATGTCAAGAAGGAATAAGAACAAAACAACAACATAAACATCCTCTATGGCATCTGATAAACTTTCCTCCTTTTAAACCTTTGACAGGCTGCAATAGTAAGCGATATGCTTGCATGAATGCCTCTGTGTACATATACAGCTAATTGTAGAGGAATAAAATACTGAGTTTAGCTCTGCAAAATTGCTAAATGAAAGACATAAAGGTGTGAATATGGATTATTTTATAGTATCAGCAATAGCTTCTTCATTCCACTCACGATGTCTGATACTTCTGCATGTCAAGGGCTGTCAGGACTTTGGGCCTCTTAGAGACATGGTGTGTAGCTCTGTTTCCTGCTAAACCTTTGATTATTTGGAATTTTTCATATTATTACATCATCATCATTATATTACTGGACATTCTGAAGACACTTCACCTAATCGGTTTACTCTTCAGAACATCTTTGCTACCTTTGTAAACCTTGAAGCTTTTGCATCCAGGAGAATAAACCCCCCCACATCTTTTCTATTTTTCACCTATGGTTCCTACAGCCAGTAGGAACAAAATCAATATTAGTACAAGTCTGGAAGTGCAACTCTGATTTGCAAGACCAAAAAATCTCCCTAAATCTTTCCAGTTCACCAGCTTCCTCTTACTTCATGAGCTTTTCTTTACTTACATTACTTTCTATTTCTTCACACAATATTATGCCTCTGCAAAGAAATTTGAACTGCAGATTGTATGAAAAAGCCAAAGGTATATAATGCACTGTCCTGTAATTTACTGCCAGTGCCATTCTCGCACAAGTAAACCACTGCTACACCTCATATCTTGGGAGACAGCTCACAGCTTCCTGTTCAGAACAGACCCACCTCCCATAATCCTCCCTACCTACTACTATCACTCCTACTGACTTTCTAGAATGTAATCCTTTGTATCCCTTACATTCCATTCCCAGATAAGGCTCACAGCAGGGAAGTTAAATAATTATATGTTTACTAAAGTATATTGGCTGTTTCTACAACTAGACTAATATGGGGATAAACAGGAGAAACATATGGCTGTAATTCACTGTTATGGAACACTAGACTAAATATTGATACTGAATCCTTATCAATAGTCTCATATATATAGTACTGTAAGCATTGCAGGCATTTGTAGGAACTGCTGGGCCTCAGGACACCACCATTTTTTAGTAAAAACTCACATGTGGCAGGCCCTAATCCTGACTAAAGAGAAGTAACATATTAAGAGGCACATGTTGCTCTCCACAGCTCTTCAGATATATTATTTCTTCTATGATGTTAATTTTGGCATTGATTTACATGGAGGTTGTGAGAAATGGGAAGAGGATGGAATAAAATGCAGAGCTATAAATGGACAATTTTGGACTGTGGACAAAATTGGACTGTATTTCCAAATTGTCTAATGTGATAGGTAGCTTTTGAGGACAAAGAACATAGAGATCTGTGTGTACAGTCTTTCTCTAAGGCTTATTAGCCATGGTTTAACTTTTGAATTCTTTAAAGAGCTTCACTTTTCAGTTATTCCTACACCACTTACCAGACAAAATTAGACTTTTCTTTTTGTTGTTCTAACATAAAGCTACATCTCCTATACAGGGCAAATACTGATTGCTCTAAAAATAGTCATTTGATTCCTTTTAGAGAATGGCTGTGACTGTTAAAAAGTGACTAATTAATTTGGTAACATGACTAAAACAGTTACTCATTCAATTTGAAACTACTTCTATATATTGCATAAACCAATTGAAGAACATTCTTGAAATTTACTGCTGAAATGGAAAGCAGAAGCACTTATAGACTATTATTTCATAACACTCACATAATACTCCTGTGATACTGCTATTAAAATGATCAGTATTTTAGTATTTTTCTTGAGTTCCAAAGAAATGGTTCTTTTTAAAGAAAGCATTGATTTACCTCAATGCACAGTTCAGAGGTGTGATTTTTTTTCCCTGTAATTACAGTTGCACTAGAATCATATCTGATTTTAATAATAGAATACAATTATTTTAAGAAATAAATACATCTAAATTAAAGATTATCTTCTGAATGATACTGTAGACAGTATATAGACTTATCTACAGGCACAATGTTAACTATATTAATTAGATCAATTATAACTTAATTACAGGAGAAACAATCATGAGTCATGATATCCTGAACTGTAACCACCTATTTATTTCAAGATGATTATAGTATGAAGTGTCATCATGGAAACAATTGTTGACCCCAGAGTTAATCAGCTCTCCATGGGAAATCCCACAGACCACTTAGCTTTCCTGAAACATCTTTACTTATTTATGCTAATGAAATTATGATGTTAGAAAAATGTAATAAATCACACATGTTTTGGACAGGATTGGTATTTTAAAAGAATAATTTAAAAAAAAAAGATAACTTCAAGGACAGACAAAACTAACTGCAAGTTGTGATTACAAATTTTGGGAATCATAAAAGCATTGCTGATGCCAGAAACACAAACATGTTAAACAATTATAACTTTTTGTATTTTGGGGCTTTTTTGACTCAATGTATGCAGATGCTATTACCACTGCTCAGTCCAGACCTTCATCACTTTTCTGCTGCTTCTAGTAGAGAAACCTGCAGAAGCAAAATGGCCAAAATGGTT